TGGGGGTGGCAGCCGAGGCGGTGGCAGCGCCCCTGGGCAGCGCTCACCTGGGCGAGGGCGGCGTCCCGGGCGGAGAGGAGCGCGGTGCCACGGCAGAGCTGGGCCTGGGCGGAGGGGGGGGACAGGGACCCGCCTCGTTGGCACGTAACACGGTCCCCGGCACCGGCGGGGAGGCAGGGCCGCTGTGGCCACCACCAGCACTTACCTCCAGGTCTGCCACGCGGGCCGTCTGCGCCTGGATCTGCTCCCGCAGCCCCTGGCCCTCGGCGAGCAGCCGCTGGTTCTGCTCGCGGCAAAAAGGGGCCGTGGTTCGCCACGGCACCATCCCAGACCCATCCTGGATGCCGCCAGGGCAGCCCCTCGGCCCCGGCCTCACCTCCTCCTGGAGCCCCTCGGCCCGCAAGCACAGGCTGCGCTGCTCCTTCTCCTGGGAACGATGGGTGCAGGGCCGTGAGCCGGGGGGCTGCAGCCGGGCTGTGGCAGCCTCGGCCACACCGCTCACCATGTGCCGCGCCTGCCGCCGGAGCTCGCCGTTCTCCTCCTCCAGCCCCTTTGCCACGGCCTTCAGGTCCTCCAGCTCCTCGGCGGCCGCCCTGGCCTGCTCCAGCGCCTGCCGGCTGCTGCCGGGGGGCAAAGGGGCACAGAGGTGCTTCGGCGTCCCCGCAGCGCCCCGGCCAGAAGCCACCGCCCGGCGCCGGCTCCGCACCTCCGCAGCTGAGCCTGGAGCTGAGCCGTCTCCTCGGCCAGGCGGGCGTTCAGCTCCTCGGCCAGCTCGGCGTCCCGCTGCAGCTTCGTGTTGTGGGCGGCCAGCTGCCTGGCACGGCTGCGCAGCCCGGCGGCTTCGGCGCTGCCGGGGAGTCCCAGCGGTCCGGGGGTGCTCCGAGGCTGGGGGCGAGCCCAGCCCCAGAGCACGGCCAGGGCCGGGACGTCCCCGAGGCCGACACTTACGGGCTGGTGACGTCCCTGTCGCCGCTGCCACCCTGGAGCTGGGCGGCTGCCAGGGCCGCACGCCCGTCCTCCTCTGCGGGGCAGGGACACGGGGCATCGCCCTGGTGTCCCCACTGTGGCCCCCCACCCTGATTTCCCCTTCCCACACTGACACCCACCGGCCAGTGCCGGTCTGGGCTCGCTGCTCTCCGTGTCCTCCTGCTCCTCGCCAAGCCACGCACTCCTGCGGGGACACCGAGCCATCCGTGGGCACGTGGGGGGACCAGCACTGACCCGTCCTGCTGGCCCTGGCACTGACCCGTCCTCCCACACTGACCTGGCCCCCGGCACTGCCCCATGCCCTGGCACTGCCCCCGTGACTGACCCATCCTGCCGACACGCCGCGATCCAGGTGCCCATGGCCGCGCGGAACCGGGGCAGGTCGAGCGCGGCCCCCGAGGCCGCGGGGTCCAGCGCCCGCCGCAGCGCCCGCAGCCGCCCCTCGTGCCCGCTGTGCCCCGTCACCGCCGCCACGTACTCGACCACCCGCTGCGGCAGCACCGACCCTGCGGCGGGCAGCGGGTCAGGCCCGGGGGGGGTTCGGCCCCGGCCCGCCCGGCCCAGAGGGTTTGTCCGTCCACCTGTGTGCTCGGGGTCACAGGCGGAGAAGGTGCAGTCGAGGGCGAACTCGTCCGAGCAGCCGCTCTCGGCCGGGGCTGAGGGGACAGGGGGGGTCGTGAGGGGTCCCGGCTCCTCACCCCCCCCCCCCCCCCCGGGCCCTCACGGTCCCCACCCGGCAGCGGCCCGGCGGCTCCCGGGGCGCAGGGTCCCTCCGCAGCCATCGCGGGAGCTCCGTCGAGGGTCCCCCCGTGCCGCGGAGGCGCGGTCTGGGGTCGGGGTGTGCAGTTTTGGGGTCGGGGTGTGCAGTTTTGGGGTCGAAATGTGCAGTTTTGGGGGTCCGGGGGCCTGAGGGGGGCGCGGGGGGGGAATCGCCTCACGGCGGGGAGGGGGCGGGGCCTGGCGCGAGCCGTTCCCGCCCAGAGGGAGAAAGGGGCGGGGCCAGACGCGCGCGCCCAGGGGAAAGGGGCGGGGCCAGGGGCGGGGCCAGGAGAGCTCGCGGATAAAAGCGCGGGGGGCACGTGTCGCTCTTCGCGGGTCGGGGGTCCCGGTTCCGGTCCCGGTTCTGGTCCCGGTTTCAGTCCCGGTTCCCGTCCCGCTGCTTCCTGCCGACTTTATTGAAAGAGAAACCGCCGGCGAACAGCCCCCTCCCCACCGTTCCCCGCCCCGGCCCCTCAGAACCCCCTCAGCAGCTTCTCGTAGTGGGGGTCCAGGTTCCTGACCAGGAACATCGACAGCATCAGCAGGGCGAGCTGGGAGCAGAGAGCTGAGTCAGCAGCCTGACCTGCCCGGACCCCTGAGACCCCCCCCCGACCACCCTGAACACCCCCTCCCAGCCCCCTGACCCTCTCACGGCCACCCTGAAAATCCCCTGAACCCCCTCGGACCCTCAGGTGACCCCCAGTCCACCCATCCCATGGCCCTGCAGTCCCCAGGCTACCCCCCAGGTCAGCCCTACAGCCCCCCGGCCCCACCCGGGCTGTCCCCTCAGCTCAGCCCCCCTGCCCCGGGGCAGCCCCCCTACCTCCCCCAGGCCGATGCCCACGCAGACCCCCACGATGGTGATCAGGTTTGCAGCCAGCCAGTCCCGGACGCCCGTGGCACAGCCCTGTGGGAGGGGGGTGTCAATCGGGGGTCACCTGGAGCCCCCCCAGAGCTCCAGGACCCTGTGACCCCCCTGTGCCTCACCTTGGGGAAGATGTCACTGGGGGCAGCTACAGGGCAGCGGCCGTGGGGCAGCACCCCTGGGGTCCCGTGGGTGCTGTTGGGGGCCTTGAGGCAGGAGCAGGCGACGGTCTCGGCCCCGTCCGTGTCCCCGGAGGGTCCGTCGTGGTGGTCCCAGTCCTGGCGCCCGTTCCAGCCGCAGCAGCCAAGCTGGGGGGAGGCAGGGGGTCACTGGGGTGGCCGTGGGGTGGCTGTGGGGATGGGGGGGGCTCCGTGGGGGTCTCACCTGCTGCTGGACAGCATCCCAGCTCTCGTGGGGGTCCCCAGGCGGTCCCTGAGCTGGGTACTCTTGGATCAGCTGCTGCGCGTAGGTGGCCACCTTGGTGGCCAGCTGGGGGGGTGGAGGGTGAGCACAGTGTCCCACGGCACTGCCCCACCCCTGGGGCCCCCCTCAGCCCCGGGGTCCCCCCCCAGCCCCGGGGACCCCCAGAACTCACAGCAACACGCTGCGTGTAGACGATGACGCCCACCGTGATCTGGGCAGTGAAGAGCAGCAGCAGGATCACAAAGTACTTCAGGGACAAACAGGGGAGGTGGGGGGTCAGCCAGGACCCCCCCAGTCCCCCCTTGGGCACCGGGGGAGAGCAGAGGGGTCCCCCCAGCTCCCCAGTGCTGCTCCACAAGCACAGGATGTGGTGGGAGCACGTGGCCCGCGGTCGCTCCAGGAAGTTGCAGCACAGCTCCCCCAGCCCCCCCCAGTTCTACAGCCCCCCCCCTTGGCCCCCCTCCCCCCCGGCCCCCTCAACTTACCAGCACCAGCATGACCTTGACCTCCTTGAGGGCCCCCAGGCACCCCAGGAACCCCAGCAGCATCGTGACAATGCCGACCCCCGAGAAGCCGTAGGACCAGACCCTCAGGCTGACCAGTGGTGACCCTGGGGGGGCACAGGGGGGGTCAGGGCAGCCCCCCCCGGCCCAGGGTGCCCCCCCCAGCTCAGGGTGCCCCACGGTGCGAGGGTCCCTTACCCAGCACGGCGGCGAAGCTCTGCCGGTCGAAGAGGACCCAGAGGCCGAAGGCGAGGAGGAGGGTGCCCAGGGCCTGGGGGTGGAGGGAGGGACACCCAGCCCAGGTCAGCAAATGGGGGACCCCCGTAGTGCCCACAAGCACCAGGAGACTGTTGACCCCCCCAGGGCACAGCGGGGCCCCCTCCCCAGGTCTCCCCTGTACCCCGTGTGCCCCCAGCCCCAGGTCCTCCCCAGCCCCGTGTGCCCCCAGCTCCCGACCGTGACCCCACTCACGAAGAAGAAGAGGTTGAGGAAGAAGAGAAAGCACTTGGCACAGCCGAGGCAGCCTTTGGGGTTCATGTCTGCGCGGGGGTCACACCCCACCCGCACGCACGGAGCCAGCGCCCACCCCAGGCCCGACCCCCCCGCACCCCCGCGGCGGCGGCGGC